AATAAGTGAAGGAAAAGGAAGAAGGGGGGAACACGCCTGAGCGACCCCCTCCTCGCCACCGCGGCACAGCGTCGCTCAGCCGAGCGGGGTGCACGGCAAATAATACCAGCTCTGCCGTCGCCCCCCGCCCCGGCACCGGGACCCCCACGCACCAGGGAATGCAGGGGAACAGATGGATTTTCCATGGGAAGGAGCTGCGACGGCTCCTTCCAGTCAAACCCGTCAGCCCCGCGGAGCCATGTGTGCAAAGCATTAAACCCCGCTCCCTTCGCTGGGACGGCGGCGCCGGGAGAGGGGATTTTGGGGGGAAAATGCAGAAAGAAATGCCCCTCAGCCTGGCACAAGGCGGGCAGGCAGCAGTTGGCACAGCCAGAGCCTGAGCCTACCATTTCCACATACCCAAACAACCAGTTTTCTTCCTCTTCCAGGTGCTTCTCGTCAATGAGAGGGCGAAATAATAAAATATTAAGTGAATTAAAGTGCTGGAGCGTGTCCAGAGGAGAGCCACCAAGCTGGGGAGGGGTCTGGGGAACAAGTCCTACGAGGAGAGGCTGAGGGAACTGGGCATGTTGAGTTTGGAGAAGAGGAGGCTGAGGGGAGACCTCATTGCCCTCTACAACTCCCTGAAAGGAGGGTGTAGAGAGGTGGGGGTTGGCCTCTTCTCCCAAGGGAATGATGACAGGAGCAGAGGAAATGGTCTGAAGCTGGGGCAGGGGAGGTTTAGATTAGATATTTGGAAGAATGACTTTCCTGAGAGGGTGGTCAGGCACTGGAACAGCCTGCCCAGGGAGGTGGTGGAGTCACCAGCCCTGGAGGTATTTAAGAACCGTGCAGACGGGGCACTTCAGGGCATGCTCTAGTGCCCCAGATTGTTGGGTTGGGAGTTTTGTTTTGTGGGTGATTTGTTTTTTTTGTTTGTTTTGTTGTTTTTTGTGTGTATGGTTGGACTCAGTGATCTCAAAGGTCCCTTCCAACCCTGAGGATTCTGTGATTAAACTGCATGGAGGCAGCAGTCATCTCTCCACACAATGGGTCGCCTTCACCAGGGCTTGTAAACCAGAGCCTGGATAAGGGGTATCGAGCTCCCAAAGTAAACACATTCAGGAGTTTATTCACCGGTGGCACAAGCCACTGGGGTTATTTCAGGCCAAATAGGGGTTATTTCAGCCCATGCAGAGTGTTGTGCTCGACACAGGGAGATCTCAGAGCTGAGGGTATTGGCCCTTAATTAGGGGAAACTGGCAATTCCTAATCTCACCTCATCAAGAACAAGAAACCTTGAGGGTCCACGAATTGAGATCGTTGGATTTAATTATAAATATAACGCACGTGTCTCTATCTTTATTAACCTTGGAAATTTATATAGTTTAAAACAGCCTGAAAAGCAGCCCCTGCTGCATGTGCTCACAGCGCTGCTGGGAGAGAAGACCTCAGCAGACATGGCATTTTTTTTTAAGCGGAAAGAGGGGAGATTGAGATGAGATCTCAGACAGAAACTCTGCTGTGAGGGTGGTGAGAGCCTGGCCCAGGTTGCCCAGAGAAGCTGTGGCTGCCCCATCCCTGGAGGGGTTCAAGGCCAGGTTGGAGGGGGCTTGGAGCAACCTGGTCTGGTGGGAGGTGTCCCTGCCCAGGGCAGGGGTGGCACTGGATGGGCTTTAAGGTCCCTTCCAACCCATTCTATGATGCCATAAATGCTTTGGAGAGGTGACTGACAGGAAGAGCAGTTATGTGAAGCGCGTGGATGTGAAGCTGCATGGAGGGACGTGACCTGGTGCCACGCGCAGGTGATGAGGAGCATCCCACACGTGCTCCCACCTCCGAGCATCCTCGTACACCACGTAACAACCACCCCGAGCATGTCCAGCTTTGTTGTTTCAGCCATACTGTAGAGACGCCTATTTACTTGGGAATCATATGTTTTCTGCCCTGGTCCTCACTGTATTCAGAACAGTTACTTAGCTTCAATAAGCCCCTTGTTAAAGCCTTTTCCCTTCTGTAATCTCATCAAACTAACCAAAAGGAGTTTGTTCTGAAATAGAGTCCCATTTTGTAACCTGGCTTCCTATAGGAGATCTCCCCATGCCCACTCGGCCCCTCCACCACAAAAGGGGTCTGCTTGTCCTAGCGCGCTAACAAAACACTGCCGTCTGTTTGGGTTAGCCAGCAGGGGGTTAATGAAAAGCCCGGCCCTGGGGACTCCCACCTTATCTGCAATCATGAATTTATTGAAGAATGTGTTAATGTGCTGGATTTTATTCATCAGGGGTCAGGGCTTTTCAAATTCTTCCTCCCAGCTCCCCCTCTTTCCATCCCTCCCCAGCAAGCTCACAATGCTGTTTAAACAAAGGGCTCCCAACACAAAGAGCAAATTTACACAGTAAAGTTTTCTTGCAAGCCCAGAGCAGAGTCTGGAAGAATTCCAGCTTTATAAAGAGAAAAGGGGGTGGGGGGGGGGGGA